AACCCACAAGAGAAAACTCATCTAAGCAGCTCTTAAGGAAATTAAGATAGAACAATGAAGCCACAATTCCGTGGAAGCAAATATTTAGGCTGCTTGCAGGAAGATTTCCTACCTTTGTGTGGAAACAAAACAACACCACAAGCGTCCAGATAGGGATGCTGAGAGCGGACTCTGCTAGGAAAGCGGCCTCACCACCCAGCAGTTCTCTTTGGGAACCAAGCAGCTATCTGTCCATCACTGTCCTCACATTCTCATATAGATTTCATCTTTATTCATCCAATGCCAAGGCCAAATCTCTCTGTTTTCTATAAAAGTGTATAGTCAAGTCCATTATCAAAGAGTAGGATATAGAAAAAATGTAAAATGGGCCAAATTCTGCCAGACTGCACTTAAAGCAATCTGCCTATATTATACAGTTCATCCTCACAATAACCCAGGAGATAAGAACTGACAATTCCACCCAGTTTTACAAATGAGCAAACTGAGGCAAATGGTGGTAAAGGGATTAGTCCAAACCCTCAGGGTGTGAATGTCCCAGCGACTTCTTGACACTGCCTTCTGTTTGCATGTCCAGAGATACCAAGAGCTGCGAAGGCCTTCCAACCACAGGCTGATTTCCTAAATGCCTGAAACTGCCTGAGCTGGGCCCAGCTGATGCAAGGAACCCACAGTTGCAGCTGGGCCTTACAAACAGGTGGCAGGGATCTTAAATTTTAAGTTGCTACCTGACACCTCACAGGGTACACATTAACCAGAAGCTTGAGACAAAGTGGATCTACAACTTCAACTCAGTTGCCCTGAATAACTGCTGCACTAAAAGCCCCAGCTTCCATCTTGTTCTTTCAGGTAAATGGATATTTTATTTACTTATCGTAAACCGAACAAACTGGTGCCAATATTATCAGATGAAACAAAACACAAAATATAGATTTATAAATATTAGAATAATGAACAGATTAGGCTTATAATAAAACATTGAGCCAAAAAGTGTAGAGAAAAATCAATGAAACATGTTTTAGCTTAACTCTGACCAGTTTTGCTTTCTTACTAAGTCATGCCTCTCGACTTCAGAAAGCAGGAACAATCTTTCATCACACATATTTGTTCGTTTACTTCTTCTTCAGGTTGAATTCTGCATCCTAATGACATAGAAACTAATGCGACATGCTCTTACCTATAACAGAGGCAGCCAAGGGCATTAGGCCTCTTTGGCCACAGTAACATCCCCCCCACACATTCGATCTTCTTCTAGGATGACAGTTAATAAAGTCTATATTTTTCGAGTTATCCAACCTAAAACTTTGCTACTTGATGATTCAATTCCTGAATTTGCTTTAGCAGTCTGCCCTCATCAAACGCATGGTTCAGCTCTGCACTTGGTTTGTGGAAGTTGAACATAAGAACACAAAGCATCTACTTCACCCAAGGAACAATCCACTCACACAGGCTTATGAAGTTCCCCAAATTGAAAGAACGTCAGCCTAAATCACAAAACTCCTAATACGTTTAAGCAAAAATGGAAATTGTTTCACTGTGGAGAAGTGATGCACTGTAGCTAGCAAGCACAAAAGTAAAGCCTCCTGAACACCACACCAGTATCTTATGGAAAAATATAAATGATTTCATTATAATTTACTTAATCTTCAGATGAAAAATTGTGCTATATTAACAACCATGATGTTAGTCTTGTGAACGTAATATCAATATTGGTAGTGCATAGTCAAATATCAAACAATGACAAAACTTGTCAGCTACTAGAGAAAAGGTTCCTAGTTCTTTGTACATTTAAAATGCCTTTGAAGAAAACAATATTTCACAAGAGTATATGAAGTTCATGTTTGCACACCCTTCCTTTGGTAAAACGCACTTGACGATCGTATCCACAGTGTGGAGCTTTCCCACACCATTGAAGCTGACTTGTTTCCAGTTGTATTGTTGTACACGTTGCTACAAGAATGCAAAAGCTTTTAAGCAAAACTTGGCATCCCTGTGGATGTGGACCTGCTATGTGAGGTCATGCTATTGTTGACAGTATGACTTCAGCAAATAGGAATTTGTATCCTGCATTGTGCAAATGTCAACAAAATAAACAGAATTTTTTTTTAAAAAATTGTAGTTTTTCCACTCAACTTATTTAAATCAACCCACTGATTTGTAAAGTTCCTTGAAAGTGGGTCATCTATCTTTGCATTCTTCACATGACTTAAGTTATAGATCCTAATTCAAATGCAAGCACCCGTGCACATACACCCATACGTGCAAGCAGAGACACTCATGGTGGACGTGATGAAGCTGCACTTCTAAGTAGACTATGCCGACTTGGATGGGGAGAAACTCCAACAGGAGAGAGAACTTCATCTTCTATTGTACTTCTACAAACGAGAACAGCAGGAGCCACGGACTGGGGAAAGCAGTCACGGAGGTGAGCCAGATTCCTCAACTCCAGAGCCACTGCATTATGTTGATTTGACTTGGGCAACTTGCCTGAAAATTGCAATTAGTGCAGAAAAAAGCCATTATGCTTCATTTTCAGACCTACCAGATACTCTACATGTTTGCAAACTTGGACTAAACTTGAAATTTTTATTTGTTTTGGTGTGTACCACACTAACCAACTTTACATTCCAATAAAAAGATGTTCAACTTGGAAAAAAAATACAAGATAGTGATTGATCACCTTAACTGTCTGGTTCTGCTGTAGGACGATATTCGATGGTAGAATGGAAGTGAAGAATGGCTGATTGGATGAAGAGTATGAGAGAAAAGGAGAGAGAGCTGGGATAAAGCTGGTATTTCTCAACTTTTAGATGCTGTAACAAAACACATAAGGAAATCTAGACTTTTTAAAGAAGAAAAGTTGATTCTTGCTCTTCATTTGGAGGTTCACAGGCCAAGGTGGGAGGCCCCCTTGCTTAGGCCTCTGGGGAAGTGTTGCTGCTGGTGGGGGTCCTTAGGCAGCAGGCCGCCAGAGAGAGTGGGCTGCGCCAGCTGGCTTCACAAAGCCACCTTGGCCGACCAGCAGGCTCCACCCTATCTAGCCACACCCTAAACGGCCATCCCTAAGTGCCTTGATTGAATTAAGTTTCTGCCCTCTTGGTACCATTCACATTTGAGAAGGTAATCCTAACTCCTGAGTTCTGAGGGACAGATATTCAAATCCTAGCACAGCCTTATCTATTCTGAGAAACTTATAGATAGGGTTAGGATTTTCCAAGGCAGATCTTTCCCCAGATAAAAGTTATAAGACTCTACCTCCCTTTCTCCCATGAGGCTCTCCGTAAGCTTTGAAGTCAGTTATTCAACTGATGCACTTGACATTGACCATTTCCCCGATATTTTGCTCTGGTAATCCTGGTGCAGTCCCATCAGTTCTACTCAGGCTGAAAACACTGGGTTTTGCACAGGGAGCCCATCTAAATCCTGCCACAGACGCTCTCCGTCCCCACCTCAGAGGCAAGCATGAGAGCTTTAATTTACTCCAAACTGTTACTGTTTGTCTACAACATTTGCATGATTACAAATCTGAAACAAAGCATTGCTCTTTTTCAAAATTTATTTTGACCTTTTCATTGGTCAGTGAGTTTAAGTTTTGGGACATTATTACATGTTGTATTATTTTGTTTTAAATTTCAGCCACTTGTAGAACACATGCTCAAAGTATTTTGAAAACAAAAAGAGGAGGGGAAAAACAACTTCATAACAAGGAAGTGAGCGTTTCTATATTAGGTTAGGCACTTGGTAGTGGGAAAAGGAGAGTCAGTTCAAATGACTCAATAGCTTCTTTTTGTTATTTTGTCTGATGCCTTCCTAATGGCCGACTCAGTGGAAGAATGTTGCACAAGACCTAAAATTCTCCCTGGATATCGCCTCAGATTATCTCAAAACCAAAAATTAGATACAGAAGTTTCTTCTCATATGCAAATGGAACACCTGTCTAGACGAATGTGCAATTTTAGCCACAGGCTAATGTTGCTAATAATATTATACTCTTGAAAAATTTATAGTAGACCACCAAGTACAAATTACCTTAAAATCATATAGGACAAATGCAGTTGCAATCACCAAGAAAATAAAGCATAAATAATCCTGAGTAGTAGAGACATGTGCATGTATGTGCAAGTGTGGATACACATGCACAAAAGGAATAAAAAAAACACCCACAAAACAAAAACGCAGCTCTGCATGAAAAAACAAAGTCAAATTTCACACGAATGGGTTTGTGTTGAACTTATCAGCACAACAAAATGCTATAGGCAGACAGCACTGGAAATGTGTTTCTTACCACACAAGAAGCTGATGGCCAGGGTCGCGGTGCCGGCTGGTCCCTGGTGAGGACTGAGTTTTTGGGGTGCAGATGGCTGCATCCTCACATAGCGTGTAAAAAGGAAACAGGAGAGCAGGCAGTGCTGTGGGCTCTCTTCTCATCAAGGCACTAGCCAGGGGAGGTCCTGCCCACACGCCTTCATCTAACCCTAATCACCACCAACAGCCTCATTTCTGACCGCCATCACATTGGGGCTGAGCATTCCAAAAGGCAAAGTTTGTGCGACACCAACAACCGTCCATAACAGTAACTAGAAGAGGACAGAGACCCTCGGAAGCGGCTGAAGGCAGCATTTGACATGGGGAAGGAAATTGAGCTGATTGGACTAAGAGCAAAAACTTCCAAAGTAGGTTCAATTACAACAACCAGGGCTAGATAGATGTTTGTGAGGCCAGCACAAAATGGCCATTAAAAGTAAAAATATATAAAATTTTATCAGTTCTGCTGCATGCTTTCAATTAATCATGGTGGTTATTACTTTGTTATTTGTCATTTTAAGTACATTAAAATTTAAAATTTATAGTACTAACTTGATTTGTGCTGTTTTCTCTGTATAAGTATCAATTCAAAATGCACATGTAAGAGCATTAACTCCTATGCAGAATTCCGAGAAATGACACAATTTGCATTTCAGACTTCATTCACACATGGGCGTTTCACTGCTTACCAGTATAGTGGAAACACTGTGCAAACCGAATTCAGATGTGTTTTCACTTTTTGATGTGCACACACTCTGCTCTTGCTGCTTGGAGAATAACAGATGCTGCATGCCTTTGCCCCAGTGTCATCATGATCAGCACAGGTTATTGGGCAATGCCAGGAAGTGATCTGAGAAAGAGATAATGCCAAATGGTCTCTTGATCACTTATGTTTCTTGGCATTTCATCACTTCTTTCTGTAGCCAAAGGCAGTCCTGGCTCCCAGGGTGATCTGTGCTCTTGCTTACTAACTTGTAGACACACATGCTGAGCTCACACTTACTGTGAGTGCTAGTGAAGACCGGCGTGCTCGTGCCCATGGAACTCCCAAGAAGTACAAGCGTAAAGGAAAGGAAGGGTGGTTGAACATAAATGCTGCACATACACCGTCCAGTGCCTTGCTCCATCACACTTTGATTGCAAAGCACAGATGCAAAAATAAAAGGAATGAAGACTTTCAAGTATTGGATCAAGCAAGAGACCCCTCAAAACATGGGATCCTGTACAACCATAAAGCTTGCACACTGTGAAGTTGGTACAGGTGGCAATGCTGATATGCAGAGGGGGGTTTATCTGAAAGGCTCGCTCCAGAAAGGTAAGGGATTTGGGAGAGCAACTGCTGCTCATGACCCTCTATCCAAGCCAGAATCCTCACACATCTACCCAAGACAGGGACCCTAGAAGAGTGTCATGACACACATCTCTGACACTGCAAGATCATACCAGCCTTGAAAAGGGACATTGTTATATATAACATCCTTGTCTCCCAAGACTTAGTTGCACATGCTACATTCTCTCAGCCCCATGGAACATGGATGACCCAGCAAGTGAAGACGGGGCTAGTCGCCTGTCAACCCGCCTATGAGCTATCTGGTAGTGCTGTGTTCTTTGTCACAGCCTTCATGATAACAAAGGCGCCTTTCTATAGTACTATCAGAAAAACAATTCACAGTGCAAACAAGTTAAACAACAATTGTAATATGGAATTCAAACTGTGGAAGTTAAACCTGAAAATCAAAGTATATGAAGGAAATGACACTAACTAAAAAGTTTGAAATGACAGACAATATCCATCAACACACAGTGGAACACCTCACAGGACGTTCCAACGCAGGCTTCGGAACCACACTCCCAGTGTTCCAGGACAGTAACTGGGACCCAAGAAGGTACCTGAGAACTGATGTTTCCTTGAGCCAGCTACTGGTGAGTAACATTTATGCATTAGTCCTGCATCATCTGTTAAGATGAAGTGGAGAGCTGTCAACACATTATGTTCCCAGCTTGCTCCAATCAGCCAGTCTAGGTTTACTGAACAGTAAGAAGCTTCCAGTCTATGCCTGGACGGAAAGGATATCTCAAGAACATTGACCACCAGCAAGCAGGGAGCCATCTGACCTCCCAGGTGCAGGCTTCTCTCTTCTCCCTCTGTTTACCAACCAACGCTCAGTAAGGGCACAGGAAATGTGTGCCAAGAGAAGGTGGCAGAGGAGGAAGGAGGGACCCAGTGGGATAAAACACAGTCGCTCACAAGACTCAGCGCTGAGTACTCATGTTTCCGTATTATTTTGCCATTCTCTGAAATTCCCCACTTCCCTTTTCTTAGGAAGAAGTTGCTCTGTGTATAAAAGTGGCCGGCAGCGCAGGCTATGCCCAGACAGAAGAAAACAACAACCCCAAATGCTATTCTTAACAGTTGATGTAAGCAGGATGTGAAGGATATTGTTTGAAAAATCACATCACCCAACAAAGCAAAATCATCTAATCCAGGTTGTTATTTTGGGGCTTCTGACACTGACTCACTACACTACAAGGATACTTCAAAATGTTTATGAAAAAAATAGAATTAAAAGAGCAATTATGGGGCTGCAAAAACACTTCCAAATTCAGGCAGTTTCTTTTCATGTTCTCTATTTGTCATGACCTTGCATAAACTCCTCATTTTCAAACCAGCCCAGACACTCTTTTATTTTTCAGTTTTCTTAAATTATTTATGTCCTAACTTTGGGTTGAAGTAAGGTCCACCACTTGGATTTAACTCCGCATGTGTTAGGCATGACAGCTTTCAGGGTCATTTTATAAGCACCACCCCAGCCGTCTCTTTACTCCAACCTGAACAACCTCACCAGGAGTCCTAACAGGTGTGTGCCCATGGCGCCCACACAGCCCACGGGACTGCCCACGGGTTATACACACCTGCTCCTAGCTGCAGCCCTCAAGTTAGCCAGCTGTCAGGAAAGGGCTTTGTTTCGTTGCATTGTTTGCTTTTCCCGCTGCTCTGATAGTTTTCTGGCAGGTATAAGAGGCATGGTAGGTACTGACTCTGTTGAGGTTTGTACTGAATAAGCCAAACTAGGAGCCTTCGCCCAGCTCGAGATCACTGACTCCCCACTGGCTGATGGCTCAAGACGATTCATCCTCTGGGGACTGAGATGGAGAGTGGGGAACCTTGGGATCTTATTTTATTTTCCGTTTAATGAAAACAATAACCTCTTTATAACAAAGTGGTTGCATCAAGAACTTGGGACTTTGCATAATAGCTGGTCTTTTCAAAGACTGCTATTTATTTAAGTTTTAATATCTGTCAGCCAGTGCCTGGAGCTTTTTTTTTTTTAATTCCATTTTATGACATAGTTTCATAGGCTCTGGGATTCACCCAACCTCTCCCTATGCCCTCTCCCCATGTTGGATTCCTTCATATTGCTGCAGTAGTACAGTTCATATCCAGTCACGATTCCTTCACTGCGAGCATGTACCATGCATAGAGTCCAGCCTTTTACTGTCCAGATAAATTCAACAGTTTCCTTGGGAGACCATCCCTGGTCTGAAAGTAGAGCTGGCAGAATATCATCCCCTCCAATGAAAAGCCACAACATAACATCAACAATTTATAACATCATGGAGTTAATTGACATGGTATTGAGTGATCAATATGTTAGAAAATGTAAGTTCTTAACCACATCCTGTGACTATTTCATTGATATTCTAATTTTAGTTTATACACAACTTGCTGCTATACGCCTTAAAACGGTTATAGGGTATACTATTCAGCTGTCTTGTGTCTATTTTCATTTTTATATTTAGCAGCTTAAGTATTGAAGCATGATTTTAACTGAACTGGAGTGCCTGGAGCATTCTTCCAACGACCCTGGAAGATAGGGACAATACCTCCCTTTAGGTTAAAAAAAAACGACAGCTTGGAGAGACCAAGTGATGCTCCGCATTGGACAAGGTCCCAGCCAGTTCTCTTTGTCTCCAAACACTAGAACTGATGCTCACTAGATACTTCATATTAATCCTTCTCCGTGTATCATTTTTATAAAACAAGAAAGAAAAGCATACCAAAAAATGATAGAACATGCCCTAATCAATCACATAGGGAGATTGAGAACGTGCTAGACCCAAACCCAGCGCCTCCAGGTCCCACCCCTTGCCTCTTCCTTGTCTGAAACAAGCACGAATCGGTGGAACTAGAGTTCTGTGAATGAGTGAGCAGATGAATGGGTCCTGGTGTAAAGGCACTGTGCCTCAGTGGGGGGGTGTGGACCCTGGAGTTGACTGCCTGAATGGTAAATCCTAGCTCTGTGCTCACCTCGCTGTGTGACCTGGAGCAGGACACTAAACCTCTCTGTGCTTCCATAAAACAGATAACGCCAGTGAGCCATTCAAAGGGCTATGACTGGAAGCATGCTAGTCAAAGAGTGGCATTTTTACCAACAGCCGTTGTACCTAGAAAGAGATAGCATTAATCCTTTCTCTGCTTTGTTTTTGCTTTTGTTTTTTGATGAAAAAAAGGGAGAGGGAGGGAGGGAGGGAGGAAGGAAGGAAGGAAGGAAGGAAGGAAGGAAGGAAGGAAGGAAGGAAGGAAGGAAGGAAGGAAGGAAGGAAGGAAGGAAGGAAGGAAGGAAGGAAGGAAGGAAGGAAGGAAGGAAGGAAGGAAAGGGAGAGAGGGAGAAAGAAAGAAAATGAAGGATGTGTTAAGCATGAAGGTTCTTGTTTTCCTCCAACAGAATCTGATGAGCTTTTAGGTCACTGGGATTAGCTCAGGGAACAGGTGCGATACTAACTAAAGAAATTAGGGTAAATGGCTAATTAAAGCCTTGGAGACAACTATTAAACGAGCAGGCCACATTTGCAACTTCCAACTTCCTGCCTCTCAGGAGTTCTGAATCTTCTGGAATTACTCGCAGGGTGGGGAAGGGGGTCTAGAACAATTCTGAGCTGGAGGGGGAACAAAGTGTGAAGTCTAAAGCTGACTGAGGACGGAGATCCAGTTGGGGTTGATGGGAGAGAAAGTGTCAGTGATCAGGCACTGGATGCATGGTGGCAACGTTAACCCGTTCAAAGCTGCAAGACGACACGGCACTCAGATCTCTAAAACCTGAGCACAGGCCAGCGCTGAGGACTGCACAACCTGGGCGATGTGGCTCAGACTGCTGGGCTGCATGCTGAGAAACAGGTAAAATGGCTTGTCCATCTCTCTTTTCCACCCTTGGGCAGCTGGTCACAGGTACACATCCTGGTCCTGGTGGAACGCTCAGACTGAGCAAATCAGTAACAAATCAACAAGAGATCTCCTTGCAACTACAAGACGAGGTCGTTTAAGATTTATAATTCAGTGTTATTTCATTGAATCCAGATTTGCTTCTGTTCTATGCAACTGAACTAACGCAAAAGAGCAAGTAGGGTGCTGAGGTTGATACCACGACACCCAATTTCCCACTGGTGCAGCAAGATGGCCTCATTTTGCAATTTTTGCTGAAAGCTGTGATAAGTCTTAACTTTAACACACATCTGTGTTAATCAAATGGGTTATGATTATTCTTTGTGAGTCCCAAAAGAACAAGTTAGAAAGTAGAGCACCATCTCTACTGTTGACCCACAGTGACTGATGCGGCTAAGGGGGTGATGGGCCCCAGTTTTCACCCCTCATGGCAGGTTAATGTTTAATTTCTTGAACTTTCTTTCACTGGATAAACAAGAGTACCAATCTACTGGTTCGCCTGCCAAATGTCCATTGAGGCTGGAGATAGGTCAGGCCATAGCCAGCAGTCAGAAACCCAATCCACATCTCCTGTTTGGGGAACATGAACCCCGAGCCACCACCTGCTGCCTCCCAGCGTGTGCAGGACC